CAAGAGCCAAGCCAACAGCCAGAAGTGTACTTAGACAGGCAAAAGATCTAGGCAGGCAGCAGACAGAGGCAGTGTCTAAAAACAATGGGGTTTAAACAAGTGCTGACAAACCAAGTCAAACTAACAGGCCAATATCAGATTATAGAAAGCAGGGCTGCAATGCCAAAAGTAGTCCGAAGAAGAAAAATCCATTAATTGATTATTATAGAGGCAATGTACAATAGGTGATCATAGACAAGGTATTCTGGCCCTGTTTTTGCCAATAATCAGATGCTCAGACAATGGTTTTTCCACCCTGACATACATTTGCTTGCTGCATATATGGTAAAATCACCTTTCTTTTATATTATGTATGTTGCCACATTGTTGTGTGATCGTGCTAAAATTGGTTTACATTTACAGAATTCTGTTGCTATATATCAGTGCTTCTAGTGTTTTATTTTAGTGGTACCTGTTATTTTCTAAGCTGTCACCTTAATTAAAGAAAGGAGATATGCCACCTTTAATTGCTTACAATTAGTGAACGTCTGCAGTCATATTGCTGTCATTTATCAGCCTCATTGGAGGTTTTATCTAATTTTGTCCTCTTAGTAAATTGGCCCCATATTTCACTTGCAGTTATGACTTCCTGCTTCCATTAGTCAGATGCATTGAGATTTATTCCATTTCCATGTGCTGGCCTCTTGTCAATAACCAGGCCTGTTAAATTAAACTAATGCATCGCCGCATATGTTAACTAGTGGCTTGTGAAGGAACAAATATTGAATACTCAAGCTTCTGTTAATCGCAGACTGCACATTGAGGAATAATTTGTGACTGTGGATTGCCAGTAAGTGACGTGTTTCTGCCAGAGTACAGGACACCTAATATATAACAGGTGATTGAATGCTTTCCTCAGTCTTCCGTGCAATTCTTTGTGCATGACTTGAACTGTATTACGTTTTCTCAAGAGCCTGAGAAACTGAAGACATCAAGGCCTGAAGATATGCCAACCACTGAGAAACCTAGATTAAAGGGCAAAGCTTGTGGACAATGTGAAAAGAAAAGTGCATTACTGGTATGTATAAAGAGTTTAAAGGAAAATAAACTTATTTTTAAAGGCTTACTATGTGACCACGGAGTACAGTACACCAATACCAACCAATCATCTTCATTATTTAGTTTCCGTTTAATCTTATTATTGAGTTGCTGCACATCATTACTCTTTGCTCTTTCTCAATAAATAAACACAGATATCTATTTCTATGGAGGATCTTTCTAAAGAACCTGATAGTAGAGGTGTGGCAGTGGAGACCTTAAAGAATGCTTTCATAGAAAGATTGGTTTTATTATAACACAATCATTATTGTGGGTGATTGTAGTAAAAAAGGAAAATAATAATTTACACAGCACGAGATGAACAGGAGCAGTAAAAAAATTAAGAGGTGGTTACAGTTTAAACATAAAGAGAAGCAGTCATGATTGAACTCATGAGAGAATGTGAGTATTGGTCTTTATTTATTATAATAATGCAGGCTTACCGATGCAAGGTGGATTTCTCCCCTTCATCAGCTTTATGCATTTTGTCTGAGCATGAAACCTTTGTTGAAATGACGGTTGACAATGGCTAGTCATCTGCTGGCTCACACTCAGAAAATGGTAGATAGTGAATTAAGCTAGGCAGTTGACTAGAGAGCAACTGTCAGGCTTCAGGTGAGCTTTGACCTGCTCAGAAGTGACAGCTGCCATTAATATGTTCTGACAGGTTCTTTTTAAAGGTCGACTCTATCTGAAACATTTTTGCAGTTTTGCTCTGTGTTTTTCAGATCCTCTCACTGGCTTATCTCTCTAAAGAGCTCTAGTTGTAAGATTTCCCAACAGAATTCGATGTTCAACTTCACTGCTTGCAGCTATTACAAAGCCAAATGATCATATTACATTTCCAAATGGATTCTATATAAAGGGGAATAAAAAAAAAATTAAGTGGGGAGGCAAGGTGTGTCAAAGACTTCATTATGGCCTTAAACTGCTGCATGGTATTCTCACCATTGAAACTGCCATTATCCAAAAGATAATAAGGTAAGAATAAGACAGCAGGTGCTTTAACCCAGAAATGCACGCGCAAAACCAAATATCAATTGTTGGTGGCGCTGGCCACTAAAGTAATTAAAAAAAATATTTGGCCTCCAACAGATAACAAAAAAAAGTAGTAAACTGCAAACACAAAATTAAAATTATGGGCACACTATTCAAGCATATTAAGGCATGCTTACTTTGCAGATCCTCTCTAGTGCTGCAAAGTCAACGCTCTCCTCTGTCCCTGGCACTTCCATCCTCTCCCGATCTTCTTCTGGGTTAGACATCTGTCGCCTCTGTAAAAAAAAAAAATGACCTGTCAGCGTTTTTTAAAAAAAAGTGACTTATAGCAGAACTTGACCCACCAATTTAATGTCTGCCAGAACAGTCACTTTTTAGGTATGCCAACTGTCAAATTTGCCAGTGTGCTGATTTTGGCTTTCAACCAACTTTTCAAGCCCTCAAATGGCTGATGTCATAGCCAATCACACGTGTAACAATGTGGTAATAATGGTAAAAAAGAGGCTAAATTGGCACCTTCCTTGGCTCTACAGGGCAGGAGGGTGCAGTTGCCCTTTAAATTCCACTTTAACAGCAAGTAGCTGGGCTGGTATCCCATTAATAAGGGGCCAGTGAGTGCTGGAAAGACGGTATTAAGTCAGGTTGATCTAGCGTTACTTGCCGGATTCTGGTTGTGGATTAACATGAGATTATCATAGCGTCTTCATTTCTATTTCCATATTAACAAATAAGCATATTTGGAATACAAATTTGCTCATGATAGGAACTCTTTCATCTTTTCTTTTCAGACCTGCTTCTGTATATATACACGAGGCTTGTGTTTAAAAAATGTACACATTTTCCGAAGCATTTGTACTGATAACACTTGAGCTTTCAGGCGATTATCTGTGAGCTTGCTGTATAATGTAACACATGTATGGAATTCCTGGAACCTTTGGTCAATACAGTAATTTGTTTTTGTTCTGTTCAATGCTTTTCACTGAAGATGTGTTTGGAGTGTGGCGAGGATTACTGTGCTGTATGCTTTGCAAAAATTCACCAGAAGGGGGCATTGAAGCTACACAGATCTACGCCCATCCAGGTACTTCCACTTTCCCCTTTAGACAAGACCATCTTTCTGCAATGCATTTTTGGTTAAAAGTCTTATTTTTAGTAGTTTTATTATCGTTTTATTATTAGCATTGTTTATTTTTTGTTAGATTGTTAGATTACATTGCCCAAATGCTGATTTATAGTCTTCTATTGGGTAATCCTACTAAGACTCTTAGTAATTTCTAATGACATTCATTTTTCTTTAACATTTGAAATTCTTGTGGCATTTATTCATGCATACATTTTTTTTAAACATGATCTACCACATGTAATATGCTAGCCATGTGTAATAAATCATTATGACTGTTGTAAAAATCACCTAAGGAACTAGGAGTCAGTGTTAGAGCCAGAAATGTTGGCAATTTAGTGGAATATTTATTTTATTTGTTTATGAATGAACAATCAGGTATCATACAAGCTGTCACAACTAATAAATCCAGCTGCACCACTAGCACCTCTTTCTTTCCTGTACATCATTATTAGAAGCAATGCCACTCATCTGCATATTGTATTGCTTATATTGGAATTAAAATTATTAATCACAGGAAACTGGGTTAACTTCAGCATCTCTGTTGGGACCTGCTACATTGCAGCTGCTCCTGACAGTCAAAGGGACCTTATATCATTATGCATTGGTAGCGCATGACTAACAGTGAATTATTGCTGGAGTCCATAATTATAATGTGTAGCAAGTACAGCTTGCCCTTCTTTTGTGTTGTCTTTGCATCAGTAATATCTGTGCAAACTATGATTTTGCCAGGAATATTGCAAATGCAATTACATCAATTTAAAGTTACACAAAAGTCAGACATCAAAATTGTTGCATTCAAAGTAGACCTGTTTTTAGATTTCACATTTCACATGAATCAGTAGGGTACACGTCAGCATTATTGACTCTCATTGTTATTTTCAGTAAAAAAACTTATTCTTTTTGTCATGAATAAAAAAAAAAAAAAATAGTA